GGCTTTCTGTCTTGGCGTGTGGGGAAACGCCTTTTGCGTTTCAAGTACTCACCAAATTGCATCGATCAGCTTAACCGAATTTCACAATAAGATGCGACATTTTCATCTTAAGCCTCTAATCTAAACACAAATCATGGCCGAGGTTCTTTGGATCAGATTTAGAATTAAGAAGTCAGTCCTATTTTGACCGAGACCGCGAACGGTTGACGGAAAATAATTAAAAATAAAAATAATAAATGTCTTGTAATAATTAAGTTTAATAAATAAAGGTTTAACACCAAGTTGTATAACTAAAAAATAAAATTTACATTTTTTTAATTCACCGAACTACAAACATTTTAACTGGCGCCCAACGTGGGGCTTGTAACATAAAGCTCCAAAAAATTGTTTAATAAAAAATAAGTTAAACATAAACGGAACTCGCGCGGTCAACAACTCAAAATTTTTAGTGAAAAAATTAAAACATCCACCAAACGACACTACCAAGTGACAGTGATCGTTAACAACAAAGTAAATGGAAATTAATTAATGAAATAACCATAAAGAGTGAATTTAAACAAAGGTGGATCGAAATTTTAAACCAAACAATTACAAGAACACAAAACTAAAAAAATCAACGCACAAAAAAAAAACAAACAAGAACAACAAAAACAAATAAAACGACAACTCCAACAAGAAAAACCAAAGAAGGAAGACAGAACATTCTCTATGCATTTATCAACTGTATCCCGGAAGGACGATCAACCAGCAACCACACAGAAGGAAGACCCCAACGGGACAATATCGTGAGGAATTATTTTAAATTAATAAAAAATTAAAGATTATAATTTAAGATCAGTGAATTTGAGTAAAATAATATAAGATTTATATATTCCAAAAAGTAAGATTCGCAATTTAACAAATAATTATTTATAATATTAAATAAAAATATTTTTTTTTTTTATTTTTATAATATTTTTTTTTTCTTTATATTATAATATAAAGAATTGTTTTTTTTTTTTACGTTGCTTTTATTTCTTGAATCTTCTCTTTGCGAGACTAACAAGAGGTGTATAGAATCTTATATTTTTAACTTAACTAACAGTCATATTGACTGATACGGCCCTAAAGTTAGATGGCCCTAAAAATCGATTGCTGGGTTGGGAGGTCGTTGCGTCTAAGGCGGGATACGCTAGAAACCCGAGTCAATCCCCGAGCGAGAAAATTTGGGTGCGAAGACAGTTTTTCTTTTGCTTCTGGATTTCTTCTTTCACTGCGAGGATGCCCAGATCCCGGTGGATGTTTTCGTTGCGAACATACCAAGGTGCCCCTGTGATAGTTCTCAAGATTTTTGATTGTGCGCGCTGTATGATGTCTATGTTGCTGCCGCTCCCGTTCCCCCACAGCTGGGAGCCATACGTCCAGATTGGCTTTAGGACTGAATTGTACAGTAGTAACTTGTAGTCCAGTAAACGTTATATGTTTACACTTTTGTTCGTTTATTTTAATGCGCCAGTCGGATAGCCACCTTTCCACTATTGTGAGATGATTAGCCAGTTGGGTTGTTGCCTGCGTTGGGCATCTGGAGCGACTAAGGATAGCGGTATCATCGGCGAACGTTGACGTTGTTAGTTGTGCGCTCGTAGGAATATCCGCAGTATACAAAACATATAGACACGGGCCGAGTGCGCTTCCTTGTGGAACTTCAGCTTCGATGGTGTATTCGCCCGAAGTAGCTGCGTTGCATCTCACTGAGAATACCCTATTGAAGAGGTATGATTCCAGTAGCTTGTGGGTGTATGTTGGCAAATACGTTTTAATTTTGTGCATGAGTCCGATGAGCCAAACTCGGTCGAAAGCTTGAGATACGTCGAGGAAAATAGCGCTGCAGTATTCTCGTTGTTCGAAGGCTGAGCGTATTTCGGATGTTAATCTGTTCACTTGTTCGATGGTTCCATGGTTTCTTCGAAAGCCAAATTGGTGTGCCGGGATGATATTGCAAGCTTCCAGATGTGGTATTATGCGAGTTAACAAGCATTTTTCAAACAGTTTAGACAAACAAGATAGAAGGCTTATTGGTCTGTATGATGACGGAATTGTGTGGTCTTTTCCAGGGTTCGGTATCATTATAATAATGGATTTCTTCCACTTTTTTGGGAAATAGCCAAGATTAATGATTCCATTAAATAGTTTGCAGACGACCTCTATAGCGCATTTTGGAAGTTCGATCAGCATCTTTGGGGTCAATAGGTCACCACCGGGAGCCTTTTTTGGTTTTAGCCCTCTTATGACTTTTTCGATTTCGTTCGGCCGGAATGAAGGTGCGGCTGGCTGAGGGGAGGACTCTGGCTGAATTTCTGGCAGGAGGAATGAATTTGAGGCTGGGTTTGGCTGGGAAACACTTTGAAGATGTGTGGCGAATGTTTCAGCTCGGTCTTCAGCTGCGAGCCCAGCATCCCGAAGAGTTTCTTATCGGGGTGGTCGTATCTGCTGTTTTACCAATCACGACGCATGCGCCTCTTTTCTCGCACGAGCTGTTCGGTTTGCTGATTAGATTTGAAGTGTTTGTTTTGGTCTACATCTTTCCTATGAGGAGTAGAAAATTTAGCTGCCGCAACGAGTACTTCTTCCAGGGCGCTCGTAGTGTAGTCGATGTCCGATTCCATGTTAAATTCCGTAAATTGTATTTTAGCCAGTTCGTTTTTGGCGTCGTCAGGCTGAAGGGGTGTTCGGTTATTTCTGGGCTTTGAAGAAGCGTTAGAAGCACAGGCGAGTGGTCTGATGATAAGTCCGAGACTGCTTTGGTACTTATTAGATTGCGAGGTATGTTTTTTGTCACTGCAAAATCAATAAGGTCTGGGAGCTTTCGTGAGTCTGTTGGCCAGTATGTGGGACTTCCAGGGGAAACGTAGTCCAGTTTATTTTTCACATTTATAATTGCATTGTACAATTGTCTTCCTTTGGGAGTCACTAGACGTGATCCCCAGTGCGTATGTTTGGCGTTGTAGTCTCCTGCGGCTATAAATCGATCCCCAAGTGAATTGTAGAAGTCCATGAATTTTCCTTCCGAGATTGAGAAACGAGGAGGGCAGTAAACGGCAGCGATTGAAAGGATTCCGTTGCTTGACTGAATTTGTATCGATGTGGCCTGCAAGAAGTTTGTTGCAAACCTTTTGTGAAAGTGGTGTTTAATGCGTTCTCTGATTAGAAGTCCAGTTCCGCCGTGGGCTTTCCCATCTGGATGATCTGTGCGGTAGATTGTGTAGCCTCTTATATGAAAGTTGTATTTGCTTGTAAGATGCGTTTCCACCAGTAGCATAACGTCAATATGGTTTTCGGTCAAGAATTGTGACAATTCTAGTTTATGCCGTGAGACACCATTGGCGTTCCACATAGATATTCGTAGCGCCTGCATAGATTATTTGGACTGTTGTGCTACGAGCAGCTGTATCACCATGTTCTGGTTTTGAACAAGCGTTTGCATGGTCGTTTTCATGAATGACATAAGCTCCATCATACTTTGTTGGAGGGTAAGCATCATAGTTTCCGTTTTGCTGTGTGGCTGTTCTGGGGCCTGTTGAGCGCTTTGAGAGTTAGGCTGAATTGGAATTTCCCTTCCAGATTGTTAATTGACTTGTTGACTTGAAGTTGTCGAAAATTGTGAATTATAGTTTAAAGCTGAATTGTATTTGTTAGTTGTTAGTCTGTAAATTTACTCTAAGATAGCTTAGGGCGGAGCGGGAGCGAAAGCTCATATTCGCTCCTTTGCGAATTCGCCCGCTTCGCCGCGATAGATAAGTTAGGCTTAAGATTAGAGAGAAATACAATCGAATTTATAACGTTCATGAGGCACGACCATTCTTTTCGTAATCGTTGTTTTTCGCATATTTTTAAATATTTTGCAGACACTCTTTTTTTTATTATATTTGATAAATCAATCTCGTTATGCATTTTGGCGCCCCCGCACAGTGGCCGATTTGGGTAATTTAGCGTCAGATGATTTATTTTTATTTTTTTTTTTAAGATGCAGTTTTACAATATAAACAGGTATTAAATTTCCTAGTCTGAATCGAAATTTTTTTCTGAGTCAGAATTCGAGTTTTCTTTTTCAGCATTGTAGTCCAGCAGAAGATTTCGGCCAGAAGTTGAAATTTGTTATAAAAAAGGGTAGTACAAACATTGCTGGTTTTAAACATAAATTATGAATACAACATATACTCACAGGTCACAAAACATTTATTTTCGTTTACTACATACCTTAAATTTTGAGAAAATGCTAAAACTGATTTGAAACACACAAAATCAAAATAAGTGTCGCAAATATAAAAAGTCGTCGATTAAGCCAAATTCAACACCTGAAAATTGTAAAGTATTATATGTTAGCTTTTAGAGCTTACAGTTGATCTAGTTGATCAAGTTTATAGGTTTTGGTATTTTTTTACCGATATTCAATTATTTGACTGTTGGTAGGAAACAAAATTTTATTGAATTTTAACAGTTGAAAATTTGCTTAATCTGACGCTAGAATAGCCAAATCGGCCACTGTGCCCCGTGCTCAGATCTAAAAAAAATATCAGAAATTTACCATGGGGATGCCAGTCCGCACCAAAGAACGTTAACTAAAAATGTTATTCTTTTATCTCGTTTTACAGGGTGTTGTGATATATTTGCAAGACATTTTTATGGTTTTTGTTTTTGTTTTTTTTTTTGAGAATCTATATCTTTAATGTTTAAACATTAGGTTGAGGATAAGTTTGTCATATATCCACTTCGTTTTATTATTTTTGGCACAATTTGCACTTGGCAAATGTTTTTTGATTAAATTAAAATGCATTCTTTTGGTTTACGTTGGGCTGAAGCAATTAACTTGTTTTTTTTTTTTTTTACAAGGAGTAAATCAACCCCAAATATCAAAAATAAATAACGTATATAAAATATTTAAAAAAAAAAATATTTCAATATAATATCATTTCTCCAAAAAAAAATATCGATATGTTGATATGTTATCAAACAACTTCAGTTTGGTTTGTGAAAGAACAGGGTAATTAGTTCGAAATCCACTTTTCACCTGTGAGCTCATAATGAATTCCACACGTAAACGTATTTTAATTATTATGTGCCTGGTCCCACTATTTTTGGTGTTTTTTTTGTTAAATTACTCGTTTCCTGGTTTGCAAGTATGTAATTATCGCATTGTTACTAAGCACTTTTTGTATTAAACATTTTTTTTTTCAACCTATGCAGAATCAAAATACTAATCAAAGAGATAACACGTTTCCAGTCCTAATAACGGTTTTTTACGAAGCATTATGTCCAGACTCCAAGTATTTTCTTAGTAAACAAATGCTGCCAGCATTCAAGACGGCCCCATCTATAATGGATGTAAAACTTGTTCCTTACGGTAAGGCTACAACAAGACAATCCGATGGGAATATATCTTTCGACTGTCAGCATGGTCCAACTGAATGCCAAGCAAATATGTACCATGCGTGTGCAGTGGATATTATTAAAGACCCACTTATACGACTAGAAGTAATATCTTGTATGATTCGGGACAACCGTTTTCCACAAACTGCAATGCAAAAGGTTAGTTTATCCATACATGCCAGTAAATTTTGAGTTATGTATATTATTTTTGCCTTGCTGTGGAGTACATACATACATATGTATGTATGTACTTTCAAATTTATTCTGATTTCTAAAAAGCATATACAAAACGTTTATTAATTTTGTACAGAGGTTTTTAATGTATTAAAGCAGTTGTGCTCAAGTTGCCGATGGCTGATTAATCACCATCAGCTGTACATACAAAGTATAATTAATTGTATAATTATATATATTTGTATCATGTGCATATAAAGTTTATTATAAACATATTTTTTCAAAGCTGAGAGAAGTTTTTTGAAAAAATAAAAATTGAAAAAAATTAAATCTTTATATGAAAATGCGCGTGCGAGCATGGAGTAGTTACGTGAATCACAATTAAAAGAGGCACGAGATGAACGTAGTCAAAAAAGACAACTGCAACAAAGAGAAGCGCACAGATTCATAGTTAGAAGTAGAATTGACCAACAACGCCAACAAGTTCATCGAGGACTAACATCAGCGCCATTTTTTCGACTAGCATTCCAGTACGAGCCTGATGTCAAATATTCTGCGTATTCCAAAGTGATTATTGGTACTTTGGAAAAAGAATGCCTGTGTTGTGTTGCACTCAAATTTAGAAATGAGCCAGTTGGGATGTACTGTTAGTTGAAATATTCCACTATTTAATGACGAACCAAAAATTTTTTACGACCGCATTTACGAATCGCAGATGCTGCAGGACAAGGACTTTTTTGTTTGATGCACCATGTGGAATTAAGATTTAAAAATGGCATCGCTTTGGCCATTGCATCTTCTGGCATTGCAGCAACTTTATTAGATGGAGGCAGAACAGCCATTCTGCATAACATTCAGCACTTACGCTGCCATTAAACATTCAAAATAATCCAGATGCAGTGTGCAACATATTATTATTATTATTATATTTAATAATAATTAGGTTATAATTAAAATTATAAGCTAATTTATGACTAAAGCAGTGATGGGCAAACTCTCATTTTGCCGCAGCGCTGCCGGCACACTGACAGTGTGAGCACTCTCAAATTTTATTTAGAACAGGGGTGCCCAGTCCCATTGCTCTCGGTGCTCCTTCGTTGTTGGAATTTCTCTTTCATATGGGAAACGAAATTTCATATATGTACGTGTGTTCCTCCCAGCATAGGCAAAGGCCAAATACAAAAACAATTTTTCGTGTTTTCGTGGACTGCCAAAAACTTTTCACTGCAAAAAAAATCCCTTCTGTCTTTGTTTCAGCCAAAATGGTCGACTTGAAGCGATGAATTTCTTCTTCGCAGAACATGTTTTGAGTATAAAGTCATTATTATTATTATTAATTGGCATAGTATAATGAGCTGTTGCAAAAAATATAGGGCCTATTCATATTTGCTACAATAAAATGTGTTTTTATGATATTTATTTGAAACCCCTTGTAAATGATACTATAATTGTATTTTTCAGTGCATCGACATGAAAAAAATGATGTAAATGTATTGGTGATTTTTTCACTGGTATTGGAGTTTGCTCTGCCGTATGCTGAGCTTGGGCATAGAGCTGGGATACTATCTATGGCACTATCGATATATCGATTTTTTTCTTTTCTGAGCCACCATCGATAGTTTTTTGACACTATCGAAAAGTGCCCAGCACCATCGATAGTGTCAAAAAACTATCGATGGTGCTGGGCACTTTTCACATCACTGAAATTTCAATAAAACACGAGGTTTGGTTGCGGAAATGTGCCCAAATTTGGTAGGTTGTTTTGGTAGTGGCCAAATTTGTATGTGTTTCCGCAACCTTGACTGAGTCAGCTCAACAAGGCTGTACTCGTTATGAATAACCGCAGAGCTTCGCTTATGGCGAATAATGTGGACATTTTGTTATTTTTGCGGAAAAAATCCTGGATAAAATAATTTTTTTTTTGTTTTTTAATTTTTATATCAAAAATGACCTGAATTTTGTATCTCTCATGAAGATCTCTGTTGAAGCTACCTTATAATTATGTTAATGATAAGATAGAATAATTTTGATCTTTATTTTCTCTTTTTTTTATTATGTATATAGCTTAAAAAACAAAAACCCTATGTATGGGAAAAAATGAAGTAAATATGACTATGCTATCGATACTATCGAATTTTTGCTTTGAAAACATCGAAACTATCGAATGGCGCGACCGTCGATAGAATCCCAGCTCTACTTGGGCACCCCTGTTTTAGAAGCTATCTCATTTGCTCTCATTTTGATTCATTTGACAGCCCAAACTAAAAATCAACATTTTTCCACTGATAAAAATTTTCTCAGAAATTCGGTTGAAAAAAGTTTTCTTTATGGAGAATATAGATAGGAAAGAGTAGTTTTTCATTTGTTTAAAATAAAATACTCAATTTTAGTGCCCATTTCAACTTTTGAATTAACGAAAAATGAAATAAAAAGATACGTTTTTTTCGCTCAGTGAATTCTCTGCTCTCATTGTTTTTCTCTGCTACGCACACACTAAAAATTTAAACATGTGTTAGTTTTGCCCCCCACTGGACTAAAGCCATAGCAGCAAAGCCTTCGGCTTACTTATCGTGATGGGAATATGTAGATATGTAGAATTATGTAGATATTAGATTTGTTTTTTGCAACATAGTGTGCAACATAAAAAAACAATCGTCTATGGGCATTGTAATTATTTGAGGCATTGGATTGGACATTTAGGGATATAAAAAACAATGATAAACTATTTGGAGGCACTTAAAATAAACCTGAAAGGAGTAACACACTAACTCTTCCCGTTATTCCACGTTCAACGAACGCTAATTAAATTAATGCTTGCCTAAAATCATCGTGACTGTGGCGTAATGTTAAAAAAAGTACAACTGACGAAAAATATGCGCGTTCAAATGCTTCGGGATCCATCCGCTTAAATTTTGTCTAAACAACAATGGGAAGCGGATGGGAAAATTTCTGTAAAAATACTGGATGTACTGGAAATACTGCAAAATATTTATTAACCAAAAAAATGAAAAGACAAGAAAGAAAAGCTAATTTCGGGCGGAACCGATGTTGATATACCCTTGCAGTTAAAAGCGGATATATGGTAAATCGTATAAATCGGATATAGTTGGCCAATCCTTATGAGAAGATCATAATATAACCAATGAAATCCCAAGCTTCTATCTTTAAAAATACCAAAGGTGGTATATCTACCAAAAACCATTTCCGATCGTTCAGTTATATGGCAGCTATAAGATATAGTCGACCGATCGTTTTGAAATTTGGTAGGTCGGATTAACTGACCAAAAATATAATCTGTACTAAGTTCCAGTTTTCTAAATATCTTCAAAAACACAAAAGTTTGGTCACTTCCGATCGTTCAGTTATATGGCAGCTATAAGATATAGTCGGCCGATCCTTATTAAATTTGTCATGTCGTATTATTTTGCCAAAAAAAGCTCTCGTGTAAAATGTAACTCTCTAACTCTGAATACACTCTCTAACTCTAGTCGGCCGATTGCGGCCCTTCCGACTTATATACTGCGTGCAAAGGAAAAAAGGGTGTGCGCAAAGTTTCAAGTTGATAGCTTTAAAACTGAGAGACTAGTTCGCGTAGAAACAGACAGACAGACAGACGGACATGCTCATATCAACTCAGGAGGTGATCCTGATCAAGAATATAAACTTTATAGGGTCGGAGATGGAATAACTATATAAGCTAATAACTTTATTATTCCTTTATAGGAATAATCCGTATATCCCGTTTTGAATCTCATGTTAATTTAAAGGTGCATTTCTTTCAGCCGCAAATATAATTTTTTATAACTTATAAAAAAAAAAATAGAAAAATACAGGATCAAAAATAGGATCTGTACTAAGTTTCAGCTTTCTATCTTCAAAAACACGAAAGTTGGGTCATTTTTGATCGTTCAGTTATATGGCAGCTATAGGATATAGTCGACCGATCGTTATAGAATTTGGCATGTCGTAATATTTTGCCAAAAATAGCTCTTGTGTCAAATTTGAACTCTCTAATTCTAAAAACACCAAAGTTATACCATTTCCGATCAATCAGTTATATGGCAGCTATAGGATATAGTCGGCCGATCCGGGTCGTTCCGACTTATATACTGCGTGCAAAGGAAGGAAGGGTGTGTGCAAAGTTTCAAGACGATAGCTTTAAAACTGAGAGACTAGTTTGCGTAGAAACAGACGGACCGACGGACAGATCAAGAATATAAATACTTAATAGGGTCGGAGATGTCTCCTTCACTGCGTTGCACACTTTTGACCAAAATTATAATACCCTCTGCAAGGGTATAAAAAGCTTTGCTAGCAACATTTCTTAAACAGATGAGAAACTACTCTTCCTTATCTATATTCTCCATGAAGAAAACTTTTTCCAACCCAATTTTTGAACAACATTTTTCTCAGTGGAAACATTTTGATTTTTAAGTTTGGGCTGTCAAATGATTCGAAATGAGAGCAAATGAGAGAGCTTCTAATAAAAATTGAGAATGCTCACACTGTCAGTGTGCCGGCAGCGCTGCGGCAGAATTTCCTACCCTATACACGCGTGCTATGTGAAATGAGATATAGATTAATAAATCTATTAGTGGTGGTTTGCCCACCACTGATATAAATTAATAAATCTATAAAAATACCGAAAAACTTTTTTGACACCTTAATACGAGGGCTGACAATAAAGTTAGGTCTTCAACGCTGCAACTTCGCCGGATCCCGCGCTGGGCGAAATCTGGCAACACCGCCGTGTTCCTTGGTTCCCCCACTACCACTTTACTGCTGGGTGAGGCTTCCCCGACCGCTCAGTCTTGGCTGAGCAGCCGTCAACGATGGAGGTACCCCTCGCGTCAGCGTCCAAGTGCGAATTGCGTTCTGTAATACGTTTTTTGAGTGCGAAAAAGGTTGAAGTTGAAGTTTACGGGGAAAAGTGTATGGACATAAATAACGTGTGTAAGAGGAGCCGTGAGTTCAATTCCGGGCGC